ATGATGGTAGCGAAAACAAGGAGGATACTGGTGAAAGTACTCCTAAACGAACTCGAGTACTAGGTAATAGCCTTGGTAGACGCGTGCAGTTTTCTTCTGTTGCTGCTGTTTCTGTTTTTGATCCGAAGGATAGTTTAGCCTCCCCCGTGCTGCCACCCAGTTCATGGTATGGTCCGTTCGGGCAAATATTCACAATATTTTCCCCTGCACAAAGGTGCACTTTTCTCGGGGTGGGGGTACTTATTCCGAAATCTGAAAATTCCACGTAAATCGACGTTTCAAGGCGCATCTTCGCACGGAGATTTTTTTTTTTTTTCGTCCTTCGCTCGATATGTTCAGATATTCAAGAAATCTTGCTTACTTTCTGGAGGGCGGTGTTTTTTGCAGGCACAAAATCTGAGACCGGATTTGGACAACTCTCGTGCTTTGCCACCGATGATTTTTTTCCGATTTCCAATTTGAAAAAAAATAACGGAGTTATGGGCAAAAAACCGGATATTGGAGGGTATTTTGCTTAGTTTCTTGGGGATCATCCAACCGTACGATTCAATAATAAAGTGCTGCAATCGATTCCTCTCGTGATTTCCCACCGATGATATTTTTCCGATTTCCAATTTGAAAAAAAATAACGGAGTTATGGGCAAAAAACCGGATATTGGAGGGTATTTTGCTTAGTTTCTTGGGGATCATCCAACCGTACGATTCAATAATAAAGTGCTGCAATCGATTCCTCTCGTGATTTCCCACCGATGATATTTTTCCGATTTCCAAAAAAAAACTCGGGTTTCGGAGATATTTCGGGTGGTTTCACACGCCCTCGGGGAATTTTTTCCCGCCACACACACACCAGAGGACACACACACACACCCTTTACGCACGCAACGAAAGACGCACACGCGCTCCGGGCACATGGGTCGCCCAAAGGGTAAGCGCAAGCTGCCAAGGAACGCCGACGGCACGATTCGGAAGGCCCCTTCGCCCCCTGCGGACCCTGCTGTAGGCAACGACTCTCCTCCCTCTTCCGACCATGAAGGCGCCAATATTTCTC